GAGGAAAGGAAGGAAGGAAATAAAGAGGGAGGGAGGAAAAGGGGAGGGAGTTTGGGAGGAAAGGAAGGAAGGAAAGAAAAAGGGAGGGAAGGAGGAAGGAAGGAAGGAAAAAGGGAAGGAAGGAGGAAGGAAGGAAGGAAGGAAATCAAAAGGGAGGAAGGGAGGAAAAGGGAGGGAGTTTGGGAGGAAAGGAAAGGAAGGAAGGAAATAAAGAGGGAGGGAGGAAAAAGGGAGGGAGTTTGGGAGGAAAGGAAGGAAGGAAGAAAAAAGGGAGGGGAGGAAAGGAAGGAAAGAAAGAAGGGAGGGAGGAAAGAAGGAAGGAAAAAAGGAAGGGAGGGAGGAAAGAAGGAAGGAAAAAAGGAAGGAAGGGGGGAAAGGAAGGAAGGTCTGTCTGTCTGTCTCAATTTGGAGAGCAGGGCTGCCTGCTTCCTTCCCAAGAACCAGGGTGGGTCCAACTCTCCCCCCCCCCAGCTTCCCCTGCCAGACCTGCCCAGCTTCCAGAGAACAAGGCACCCTTGGCAGGTGTGGCCCCCTCCCCTCCGCAGGGGCTGTTGTTGCCATCCTCACCCTCTCTGGGGCCGCCTGGCGGGAGCTGTTGGGGCTTGACAGAGGCGGAAGCGCCTTTGCGTGCGACGAGGATCGCTGCCATGGCCCCGGGGCTCCTCTCCGCTCTTCCTGTCCCAACATGGCAGGACAAACCAACATGCACAGAACTGCTCCTCTCTTGTTTTGGGTTTGCGTGGGGGGGGGCTCCCTTCCCTGGAAGATGCTCTCCTTTCTGGGAAGCCAAGCCAGCCCAGCCACAAACAAGACCCCTTGGAGGATTATGTGCACGCGATGCCCCGAGACAGGGGGTTTTGCGCTCCCCGATCAATAAACGATGATCGGTTGCTTCTCAGATGCAAGCACGTTAAGGTGGGAACCCTGGCTGATGAACCGCCCAAGCGATTTCGTCCTAGCCACCATGCTAGGACACAAGCCAAGATTCAAGATTTATTCTATTTGGAGGGGACGTGAGTGTACACGAGGATACGTCCACTGGGTTGGACTAGATGACCTCCAAGGTCCCTTCCAGCTAGGAGTCTACCCCACCTGGAATCCATGCAGAGGGTTATAAATATTGCAAATCTAAATATATAAATATGTATATCTACATATTATATTATGTATGTATACAGATATGTATATTTCTATCCATCCATCCATCCATCTATCTTCTATCTACCTATCATCTATCTATCTATCTATCTATCTATCTATCTATCTATCTATCTACCTATCTATCTATCCATCCATCTATCTATTTATCTATCCATCCATCCATCCATCTATCTTCTATCTACCTATCATCTATCTATCTATCTATCCATCCATCCATCCATCTATCTATCTATCCATCCATCTATTTAACTATCTAAATATAAAGATATGATTAAACTGAAGCTTGCTTGTTGTTGGTGACCAAACGTGTCCCATGCCTTCAGTCCTTGGTGGCTTATTCCACAAACCAGCTTTAAACAAACCATACTTTAGCATAATTGCACCCCAAAAAGAAAAACATAATGCTTTTCCTTGAAGGCAAACAGAGGCCACTCGGAGTTGGAAAGAGATTAAAATTGGAATCATAAAACTTCACCTCTTTTACAGCTTACGGAATAGCGGTGTTGGAAGGGACCTTGGAGGTCTTCTAGTCCAGCCCCCTTGCTCGAGCAGGAAACCTTATACAACCCTATTGTAGAACTATAATTCCTTTTTTTTTTTTTAATGACTTCCATTTCGTTTCTTAGTCCCCACAAAAAAATCAGAAGTGGCTTTTCCGCTTAAGGGAGATGCTTAAATTTTATTTTTGATTAAGAAATCCAAAGTTTTCATAAAATCAATCGGTGCGTACACACACACACACACACACAACACAGGTGTGTACCCAATCGGTTTATCTTTTGGCTGGGTTTCTTCTCTTCTGCAAATTCCCCTCGCCTCCCAATTGCTCCAGGGATGAGCCAAAGGGGGAGGTGGGCTAAAGGGAGGAGGGGGCTTTGCTGGGAAGGAAGGAAGGGGGGGATTGAGCTGGGGATGAAAGATGGGAGGGAGGGGGGAGCCAGCTTCTTTTAAGCCATGGGGGGCAGAGGAGGGGTCTTTGCAGTGACTCAGGGGGAAGGAAGGATGGGGGAGAGCTGCCCACCGAGGGGGAAAGAGTTGGAATAATTTAGACTTCAGGGTTGGGTTGTTGTTGTTTAAATGCAGGAATTTTGAGGCATTTTGTTTTCTTGGGAAACCTTTTATGGATGGTTAGGAGGGGAAACGTCTCTAGTTTTTCCTTCATTCATCCTTTCTTGCTCTTCTATGCATCTATCTACTTTTATTTCCTTCGGTCTTTTCTCGCTCTCCTTCCTTCCTTCCTTCCATCACTCTCACTCTCCTTCCTTTGGTTCATCCATCCTTTCCCTCCTTCCCAGTTTCCTTCCTCTTTCTTTCCTTTCTTCATTGGTCCATCCATCCTTTCCCTTCCCTCCCTCCCTCTCACCTCCCTCTCCTTCCACCCCCCCCCCCCCCCCCCCCCCCCCCCCCCCCCCCCCCCCCCCCCCCCCCCCCCCCCCCCGCTTCTTGCTGACTCCAGCTCCCATCATCCTCCCCCTCCCAACGGGAACCGCTGGCACAGAGGGAGGGAGGCTGCGTGTCCGGACAGGAGGCAGCTGCTTTGGCGTCAAAACATACCTGTGTGGAGTTTGGGGTGTGTGTGTGTGTGTGTGTGTGTGTGTGTGAGGTGATCTTCAGATCCAGGGATTTCCAAGCATGTGTGCAAGCGCTGGTGAGTGGGAGGCTTGGCACAGGGCTCGGCCTTTCCGCGGGAAGCGGGCGGAATGCTTGGCACGGCGGTGAGGCTTGCCCTGGCGGGATAGGCAAGCCGAGCCGTGCTCTCAAACCCTCCCCCCCCCCCCCCCGAATGGGGGAAGCCAAGGGTGGGGGAGAGGAACCAGGAGCCCCCTGCACACCTTGGCCTGGGTCAAGGGCTGCCCCTCTGCAGGGGGCAGGGTCTCTTGGCTGGAAGGCCAAGCGGGGGGAGGGTGAGTCCCGGGGGTGTGTTAACTGGCTGGATGGGGAAAGTGGCTTGGCCTAACCATGGTTTGTGTCAGTCTTCCTTCTTTTTCCTTCCTTCCTTCCTTTTCCTTTCTCTCTCTCTCTCTCTCTCCTTCCTTACACTCCCCTCCCCTCCCTGACTTCCTCTATCTCCCTCCCTCCCTTCTTTCTCTCCCTCTTCTTCTTCCTCTCCTTCCTTCCTTTCCTTATTTCTTTCTTCCCTCCCTCCCTCCTCCCTCCCTTTCTTCCTTCCCTTCCAATCCTTCCTCTTCCTCCCTCCTTCCCTTCTTTCCCCATCTCCTTCTTCCTCTCTCCCTCTCTTCCCCATCTCCCTTTTCTCTCCTTTCTTCCTCTCTCCCTTCCCTCCTTCCTTCCAAAACTTCATTTTCCTCCCTCCTTCATCTCCTTTTTCTCTCCTTCCTTCCTCTTCCTCCCTCCCTCTCTTCCCCATCTCCCTTTTCTCTCCTTCCTGTCTGCCTCCCTCCTTCCCTTCTTTCCCCATCTCCTTTTTCTTTCCTTCTTCCTCTCTCCCTCTCTTCCCCATCTCCCTTTTCTCTCCTTTCTTCCTCCCTCTCTCCCTTCCCTCCTTCCTTCCAAACCTTCATTTTCCTCCCTCCTTCATCTCCTTTTTCTCTCCTTCCTTCCTCTTCCTCCCTCCCTCTCTTCCCCCTCTCCCTTTTCCCTCCTTCCTCTCTCTCTTCCCTCCTTCCTTCCAAGCTTTCCTCTTCCTCCCTCCCTCCTTCTGGCAGTTGAACCACCCCACCGCCGTCTTAACATCGCAAAGGGTTGTGCAACCCTCCTCTAAAACAAAATTGCCAATCCCCACCGCTAAGCCACGAGGATCACTAGTTCCCAGAGAGTCACAGCAGTGTCATATTGTGAGTCACGACATCCCAACGCAAAAGACGTGGCCACTTCTCCTCCTCTTCATGGAGTGCCATCAGGTCACTAAACAAAACGGTTAAGTCAAGGACTCCCTGGTTTGATTTACTCAAGATCTATAGCTGCCCTTCTCAACTTTGCGCTACAGATGCTGCCTGAGAAGTGTTTTGAACGCAAAACCCTGTCCCCCCCCCCCCCCCGGCGGCAAAGTCAATTTTCTTTTTGGCTTTGCAAAAAAAGAGAGAGAGAGAGAGAGAGAGAAAATGAACGAATGCAGAAGGAACCCGGCTTTAAGACGATGAGCCGATAATTGAGCTTTAGGGTAGCAACTTGACAGGTTGACGGGAATAAAATCCAGGTTGGCAAATGGTTGACGTCTGGATGAATTAGGAAAAGAGTAGTTGGATTTTCCCCACCGCAGGCTGCCTTCAGCGAGAGCTTCACTGATAATAATCCTAAGGAAATGTTCAAAGCCTGGACAAAATTGTCCTTTAAAAGCGTGCCGCAATTTAAAAATTTTGCACGGGCCGCGTTGACGAAGAAGAGCTGTCCAATTTCCGCCTTTGAATTGATTTAATCCAGTCCAAACAATCTAAAATTCACCCGTTGCGCATCTCCTTTGAAGCCTGCCCACAAGAATATTATGGGGTTTGTTTTTGGTTTGTTTTTTTAGAAAGTTAAAAGCAGAAAGCTCTTTTTGGGGTAGGTATTTTCCAAGGGCCGGTTGCAAAGTTGGGCGCTGAGGACTGGAAGCGTGAAGCTTTAGCACTGAGGACTAGAAACATCTTGAAGAACACCCTTTTGACTTTGCGATGACTTGAATTGCTGCCGCTGCTGCTTTGAATGGGCCTGAAACGTTAAATTTAAAAGAGTGATGCGCTAGAGAAAAATTAGGCTCAAGGGGGAAAAAAAGCGAATTTTCAGGCTGTAAAATAATGATGATAAATGACATGAAAAATGGGAGCTGGAGAGGTTGTAGGCTGGAGAAACAAACAGGCCTCGGTTGATTTACGCAAATTCTATTCCGATTTCCAGTATTCGCCTCTGCTGAAGAAACTCTACTGTCAGATTGCAAAGACATGTCCAATCCAGATTAAGGTCTCCACGCCGCCACCTCCTGGGACGGTCATCCGAGCCATGCCAGTATACAAGAAGGCCGAACACGTCACGGAAGTGGTCAAGCGGTGCCCGAATCATGAACTTGGACGCGATTTCAACGACGGTGCGATCTTTCCCATCCTTTCTCTCTCAAACTCGCCTCTTTGCTTCTCTGAATGCGTTTTTTTTCCGTTCCATAGAAGAGGCTTCTGGTTATTATCATCATCATTTAATGACCCTGTAAATCCCTTGGAGCTAGCAGAGTGTTTTTAGTGGCCAGATGCCCTTCCTGTTGCCAGAGCGGAGTTTTGTTCATTCTCAGTGTGCCCAGAAAGAGAAATATCTGCCTCTACCTAGGATTGAACTCACAGCCTCCGGATTGTGAGGGCGAGTGCTCCCACCTCTAGGCCAGTACACCATTCTTAAGAGGCTTCTGGTTATCTGCCTCTTTAAATTTAGACTTTGGGATGTTCTTTTTTTTAAAAAAAATCATTTAGAGACTCCTTAACCATCCTATATATTTTTTTAAAAAAAAATTCCTTGCAAAATTTCCCTTGGGAAATTTGATTAATCAATTGAACGATGGATTGATTGCTCTCTGATTGAAGAGTTGATAACTATGACAGTCACAAATATGAATCGGTTGCCAAGCGTCCGAATTTTGAGCACAGGGATGCTGCAAAAGTCCCAAGTGTGAAAAAAATAGGCGTAAGACACTTTTTTCTCGGCTGTTGTCACTTCAAACGGTCGCTAAATGAACCGTATCTGTCTTCCGTCATAAAACGAGGACTGGGGTCGCTGTTTAGTAAAGAATATCTTGCAATCCCAAAAAGAGATGTGGTGGGGAGGGAAAGGGATTATACCAGATGAGATGTTAATATTCATAATAATAATAATAATATTACAGTAGGAAAAGATTTGCCTTGGAAGTATTTTCATAGTGGCTGCACCTGCCCTTGATGGAGCCTCCAAGGACAGGGGCAATATAGCTGATCGCGGTTTTGCACAGCCATCATGAATTAAATCCAGATAATTCGACATTTTTCCTTCTCCAGCTGCAATGCAATTCCCTTGCTCAAATCTGCAACTTTGCAATAAATCGATTTTCTTGGTTTTCTAGGCCTCTCGGCGCCCGCCAGCCATTTAATCCGCGTAGAAGGCAACAATCTCTCCCAGTATGTCGATGACCCCGTGACGGGAAGGCAGAGCGTCATGGTCCCTTACGAGTCCCCCCAGGTGATGTGCCGGGCCTGCAAATTTATGGGATGCTTTGCTTTGCTCTTTGTCCCCCTGTTGGGCTACCAAAGGTGCTAGTCCTCTTTAAGGTTTTTTTGGGGGGAAAGGATTGGCAGTGCTCGGGGCCGGGAAACCGGTGCATTCAAGAAATTATTCTTGCAAACTTAATCGCCTCAAAAGGAGTGAAGGCTGAACCTTTGATTTCCCTTTTGCTATTGAGCCAAGATTTCCATTACGGGGTTAATTTTCATGGGCGGAATGGATGTGTTTGCAGGCAGCAATAAAGGTTAGTGAGAACAAATCTGCTGCCATCTGGTGGCTATCTGAAAAACCGCAGCCACGTCTGTAAGAGTCTCATTTAAAGGGACAACAGAACCCAGCTGCAAGCTAAGCAGGGTCAGGGTGGGTTAGGAGTTGGAGGGGAGACTGGGGAAATGAGAAAAGCCACGTACCAGGTAGCCAGGGTCATTTTCTTGTGTGTTGTGGCCCAAATAAAGGAATCATTGATTTAACTACAGAGGGTTTGTTGTGTTTGGGGAGCTAGGTCCGAACACGTAGCTTATGCATTCCACTCTCCGTTCGTTTGGAAATTGAACCTCCCTCTTGTTTGGTCTCGTCAAGGTGGGCACCGAATTTACCACCATCCTGTACAACTTCATGTGCAACAGCAGCTGCGTGGGAGGCATGAACCGGAGACCGATTTTAATCATCATCACGCTGGAGACGAGAGAGTGAGTTCAGCCCCTTTGGTGCTTCTCTGGAGTCCCGGTCTGCAAGGTCGTTGTTGAGATTAGAACCCGAGCGCCGGGAACGAATTCCCTGGGTTGAAACGGGAGTTGGGACGGGCCAGATTCCCATTTTCTGGTCCTGTTGGGTTTGGGTTTGTTTTGAGAAAACCGGACACTCCGTACGAGAGATTTTGTAGAATTGGGGGACCCTCCCATACCCTGTGAGAATTTTGCAATGTTTGCTTTCCACCCAAACTGGAAAAGTTGTTTGATCCTTGTAAAAGTTTTCCAAGGTTTTGAGAAACTCCACCGAGCCGATTGAAGATATTTTGCGGCTTCTCGACTGTGGCACGATTGGCAGGGCACTTTTTTTTTTTTTAATCGTGTCCCGATTTTCAGACACTGTGGTTTTCTTGGCAAGTTTTTTTTGCCATTGCCTCCTTCCTAGGGCTGAAAAAGAGTGGCTGGCTCAAGGTCAACCAGCTGGCTTTCTTCCCAAGGTGAGATTAGAACCGTTTCTAGCCTGATGCCATCGCCACGACGTGAAACTGGTTCTCTCATGTGGCCGTTAAAAACCCCAAATCCCAGCAGGCCGGAAGTTAGTCACCAGTTTGTAAAACGAGGCAAATTTCTCACTTTGCAACAGAAATTTGGGGCTCAGTTGTGTCGAGGACGATCTGTGCTGTTTTTTTTTCCCCTGTAGTGGACAAGTCTTGGGCCGCCGATCGTTTGAAGGCCGGATTTGTGCCTGTCCAGGACGAGACCGGAAAGCCGATGAGGATCACTTCCGAGAACAGCAAGCTCTGAACGAAAACGCTGCGAAGAACGGAAACCCTAATAAGAGGAGTGAGTGTTTGGATTGGGGGTCCCGACCCTTGGAGGCTGGTTAGGGAGATGGGAAATGGAGTCCCATCATGGGAGAGAAGGCATCAGCTTAGGAAGACGGGTTAAAGGGGGGATCCTTCCAGGATATTGCATTGTCCAACATGTAGTAACGGATTCCTGCCCTGTATTAGCGGGTTGGACTTGATGACCTCCAATTCCCCTTCCGTTCTCCGTTTCTAAGGTTTAGTTTAGATTCTTCCCCTGGGCATGGGTTGGACTCGATGATCTCCAAGTTCCCTTCCCTTCTAGGATTCCAAGCTTTTATTTGGATTCCTGGCCCTCAGGAAGGGGGTTGGACTAGATGACCTCCGAGGTCCCTTCCCTTCTGTGATGCTATGATTCTTCCCAGCTTTCAAACAGAACCCGCAAAGTATCCCAGCGTTGGGGGCCGGGGTTAAGAAACGGAGGCACGGCGAGGAGGAAACGTATTACGTGCCCGTAAGTAGTAAATTTGCAAAAAAAATCCCCCCCAAAATCCCGTTATTCGTGCCTTTTTTAAAAAAAATAAAAAAAATAAAAATCTTGGCACCCAGTTTCTTACAATTAAAAAAAACAAACAACACCCTGAAAATTAGAAATATTTGCAGGTTGCGGGACCCAAGTTGGGGACGCCGCAGTTCGTTCCCGATAATTTCATCTCCGGCACTCAGTCTTTCCCACCGTCGGCAGAGGCCGATGGGAGCTGTAGTCCCCAAGGTGGCTTCCTTTGGATCCAAGCGGTTCCCCTCTGCTTCTCCTTCGCTCAGGTTCGAGGTCGGGAAAACTTTGAGATGCTGATGAAGATCAAAGAAAGTTTGGAACTGGTTGAGCTGGTTCCTCAGCAGTTGGTCGATTCTTACCGACAGCAGCAACAGCAGTTTCTGCAGCGACAGTGAGTCCCGCGCAGACACACACACCCCATCCTTTGTCTCCTTGTTGCAACAAAAACTTTGCAAATGACGGGGAGGAGGGAATCCTGCTGACGCCCAAAATCTCACGTGTTAATTTATAGGTTCACTTCTCCTAACAGGGGTGGGCAGCCCGGATCTTTGTACCTGGGACTTTCGTGTCCGGCTGCTCCTATGAAACGTGTAAATCCTGCATTTCAAGTCTTGGAGGTGGCCGAGAATGGCTTAAAGCACAGCCGGGCATCTTAAGGGCCACCTCGGGCTCTTAAGTTGTCCCTGTCCAGCCAGCATGAGGTCAATTGGGAATTAGAAATGAAATTATATAACTATATAAAATAATAATAGTGTGTGTAGCTCAGGGTTGAAGGTCCTTGCAGACATTTCACGGCCCAACTAGGGAACATCATCAATGCTAGAAGAGAGTGGGGTTTGCAGAGAGGAGGAGGAAGAGGGGGAAGGAGGAGGAGGAGAAGAAGAGGAGGAGGAAGAGAAGAGGAGGAGGAGAAGAAGAAGAGGAGGAAGAGAAGAGGAGGAGGAGAAGAAGAGGAGGAGGAGGAGTACTGTAGGGTCCTTGGTGATCTCTGAGCTTGGTGGTTTTCTTGCAGATGTTTCATAGCCCAACTAGGGAACATCATCAGGGCTAAAAGGGAGAAGGATCTGCATTGGTAGATGTTTCCTAGTTGGATCATGAAACATCTGCAAGGAAACCACCCAGCTCACAGAGCACCAAGGATCCCCCAGTCGTTGTCCACTTCCACCTTTCTGCAAACCCACTCCCTTCTAGTACGGAGGATGTTATCTAGCTGGCTCATGGAACATCTGTTAGAAATTCTGCTTATATAGGGCACCAAAGGGCAAAGAGTACAATAACCATGTGCTTTACTCCTCAACTATTTTAACTGTAACAGGAAACTCTTACATAGAACAAAAGAGCATAGAGTATTAATATCATATATCCACATTTGTAAACACTGCCATCTGCTGGCTGAATACTACTGTAGTTGTTGCATACAAAGACATTCCAACAATGAATTCCAACAATCTGCAAGAAAGAAAAAAAACACACACACACACACACAAGCTCTGAGAGCACCAAGGACCCCACAGTCCTCCTCCTCCCTCCATCTCTCTGCACCTCCCCCCCTGCCTTTTAGCACTGATGATGTCGCCTAGTTGGGTCATGAAATGTCTGCAAGAAAACCACCAATCTCAGAGAGCACCAAGGACCCCTGAAATAAAATAAAAATAGGCTACAGGGGGCAGGAGAACCTTCAGCTGACTGGCGCCCTCATGTGGCCTGCTTGGGAAAATCAACTGCCCATATCTCTCCACATTGGTTTTTGGGGAGGGCACCACCTTGGCCCGGCTGGAAGGAGGGGTGCCCCCCCCCTGGCATGTCTTGGACTCACTCTCGGCTCCCTTCACCCACAGGACGCACCTCCATTCTCCATCGTCCTATGGCCCGGTCTTGTCCCCCGCGAACAAGCTTCATCCAGGAGGCATCAACAAGCTACCATCCGTGAACCAGCTGGTGGGGCAGCCTCTTCAGCAGGGGCCTGGCACGGGACCCAACCTTGGGCCTATGGGTAAGACTCTGCCCCCCCCTTCAAAGGTATCCCCATAACTTATTTCACACCTGCCCTGCTGATGGTTTCAGGGAACCAGGGTTGGTTGAACCCGAACCAGTTCAGGCCGTTGTGAGTTTCTGGCCCTACCATCACTTCTACAAGTACAGGTAGTCCTTGACTTACAAGAGTTCATTTACTGACCGCTTGAAGTTACTGAAACGGCTGTCAGCATTCTCCAATGAAGGATTTTCACGGGCAGAAGATCCGGTAGCCTAGGCTACAATCTTTTTAAGATAAGAGCGGAATGTACTTCTGGTTTTTAAAAAGCTGTAATGCTCCTTCCGATCCCCCCCTCCCCCTGTTTATGGCAACTCAAAAACAGACATAGGAAAGTTTTAGGACACCATAATTGCAAGGAAAATGGGATTTGTAAACTCACCGGGCGTTGTTTCTTTTCCGCACCTCAGGCCCGACGATGCTCAACAATCACACCATGCAGTCCAACGGAGAGATGAACGGGGTGCACTCCTCCCAGCCGATGGTCTCCAGCTCGCACTGCACTCCCCCGCCACCCTACAATCCAGACCCCAGCCTTGTCAGGTATGGGTGCCGTGGGTGGTGGGGAGCGGGGGCCAGTGCTTAAATCCTGTCTGGACCAAGCTGGTTTTGGGCTGAGGGCTGCACGCAATTCCAGGGGGGGTCTCTCTTAACGTGGCAACTTTGAAGACTCGTGGACTTCAACTCCCAGAATCCCCGCAGCTGGTTGCCAAATTTGGGAAACCCCTGGCCTAGAATACCTCTCTTCCTCCCCCCCCCCCCCCCCCCCCCCAAAAAAAAAAACCCACTGGAAAAATCACCCTCCTGACATGTCATTCCGGAAAACTCTGCTCCCCCGAGGCTCTTTTTGAAACCCAATTCTCAGAAATTTGGGCAGGTGGCACCGGCTGCCCCCCCCCTTGTTGGGGAGGATGGGTTTTGTAGTGCTTGCCCACCACTGCATCGCAACCCCCTTAGCATACCCTTCCGAAAAGATTGGGATAGGGCCTTGGGATTTCATCTAAATAATTCTTTTCTCTCTCTCTCTCTCTCTCTCTCTCCTTTATTTCCCTTTGCAGTTTTCTAACCGGATTAGGCTGCCCGAACTGCATCGACTATTTTACTTCTCAAGGTTTACAGACCCTTTATCACCTGCAGAATTTGACCTTGGAGGTAAATACACCTGTTTGGAAAGGTCCCCTGCTTTGTGAGACCTAACCAGGGGTGGGATTCAACATCGTTTACTCCTGGTTCTGCGGGCGTGGCTTGGTGGGCGTGGCAGGGGAAGGAGACTGTAAAAATCCCCCTTCCCTCCCCAGTCTCCACCCCACTGACCTGCTTTCCAGCTCCGTTCTCCTGTGCAGGACAACCCAAGGAGATCCAGCCGGTCAGCTGGGACTCGATGGGAGGCAGAGAAGAGGTGGGGTTGGCGGGGACAGTCAGAGGCGGCTTCGGCCGGTTCTCCGAACGACTCAAGGTTTCCACTACCGGTTCTCCAGAACCAGTCAGAACCGGCTGAATACCCACCTCCGGACCCAACCCATTTCTTTCCTTCCCCCTTCGCTCCGTCTGAGGCCTCCATCCCTCCCCATCCAAGGACTGGCCCGTTTTGCAAAAAAACAAAAAACTAAATTCATATCCGGTGGCAAAGATGGATACAGGCTGCCTTCTCCTGCCCCCCACTCACTCCCCCGAAAGTGAAAGCAGCTGGAGATTGTTTGGCAGATTGGGGGGGGGGGGAAGCTGGGGGGGGGGGTGTTGGGTTGTTGTTTTCTTTTTATTGCAAATATTCCTGAACAGAATATTTGCAGATCAGGGTTGAACTGTGGGGTCCTTGGTGCTCCCTGAGCTTGGGGGGTTTCTTGCAGATGTTTCATGACCAAACTAGAGAACATTGTCAGTGCTAGAAGGGAGTGGGGCTTGTGGAGGGGAGAGGGGGGGGGGAGAAGGAGAGGAGGAAGGAGGAGGAGGAGAGGAGGAGAGCAGAGGAGGAAGGAGAAGGTCTGTGGAGTCCTTGGTGCTGTCTGAGCTTAGTGGTTTCCTTGAAGACATTTCATTACCCAACTAAGTAACATCATCAGTGTTAGCAACGAGTGAGGTTTGCAGAGAGAAGAAGAAGGAAAAGGAGGAGGAGGAGGAGGATTATGGGGCTCTTGGGGCTCTCTGAACCTGGTGGTTTTCTTGAAGACATTTCATTGCCCAACTAAGCAATGTCATCAGTACATCGTCAGTTATGACCTGACCTAGTTGGGTCCCGAAACGTTGGCAAGAAAACCACCCAGAGTTGATCCGCGCCTTCCATCTCTCGGTAGGATCTTGCGGCGCTGAAGATCCCGGAGCAGTACCGCATGGTCATCTGGAGGGGCCTCCAGGATTTGAAGCAGAGCCACGATTACGGTGGCCAGCCGCTCCTCCGTTCCAGCAGTAGCAACGCTGCCACCATCTCCATCGGGACTTCCGGAGAGCTGCAACGTCAGCGCGTGATGGAAGCCGTGCATTTCCGAGTTCGCCACACCATCACCATCCCAAATCGGAGCGGGTCCGATGAATGGGCAGACTTTGGCTTCGACCTGCCAGATTGCAAATCCCGCAAACAGTCCATCAAAGAGGAATTTCTCGAGGGGGAAATCAATTGAAGGGATCTCAGGTTGTGGGGGGGGGGAGTGAGGGATCTGGGGCAAGCCAGCTGGGCCTGCGGACCCCATAGATTTTGCCGCCAGACTGAAGCCACCCCCCTCCAAAACAAAACAAAAAAGTATTTCGGAGAGGTTGTGGCGATGGGACCTCCGCGCTGTCCAACTTTGGTACGTCTGTCGACATTGTCGTTGCCAAAGTGCAACCGCCACCAGAAGGAAAGAGACGGCGTTCCACCAGCAGACTCGGGAAAATCAACAAAAAACTTGCATTTCCACTTTCGTACGTTTTGTCCGACGTTGTTCGCACAAAAAATGCAAACCAACCAGAAGGGAAGAGATGCGTCCGATCAGCAGAATTGGGAAATCGATGAAAATTTGAATTTCCTGAACAATCTGGGGGTCGATTTTGCGTCCACAAGGAGAGAGAGGATGGGCTGGTTTTCGTTCCTGAACAATCCTCAATTTTTCCTCCAACGACGGCCGTCCTTTCTTCTGAAAAATGGCTTCGTTGCTCCTCAATTCCACCCCCCTGGTTTGGTTGAAAAGAAATCTAGAAACGAGGGGTCCCGCCTCCCCCAAGCCCCCCCCCCCCAATCCCTTCCCTTAACGGACTGCCAAAAAGTGTTTGTTTTTCTACAGTGCTACGTAGACTGAAAACAACAACAAAAGAAAAAAAAATGTTTATAACTCGGTCAACAAACCGAAGTGACGTTTGTATTAGTTAGGTTCATCCTTTGCTCCGCTGGAGCAGACATACGCTGTACATAACTGTATTTAACCACCGTCGTAAGGTTTATGTAAGCTATTTTAAGATGGGTGTGGTTTTGTCTACCACCAAGGTTTGACCATTTGGGGTGTCTATTCCGGGGATCTCCTAACTTGGCAACTTTAAGGTTTGTGGACGCCCAGAATTCCCCAGTTAGCACCAAATGGGGCAATTCTGGGACTTGAAGTCTATAAAACTTGGCGACTTGTGAACTTCAACTCCCAGAATTCCTCAGCCACCATCAAATAGCAGGCTAAGGAATTCTGGGAGTTGAAGTCCACAACACATGGCAATTTAAGGTTTTCTGGGAGTTGAAGTCCACAAAACGTGGCAACTTAAGGATTTCTGGGAGTTGAAGTCCACAAAACTTGGCAACTTGTGGACTTCAATTCCCAGAACTCCCTAGCCAGCAGCAAATGGCTGGCTGGGGGATTCTGGGAGTTGAAGTCCACAAGTCTTAAAGTTGCTAAGTTTGGAGAGAAAGACTTATTTGTACAGTCAAAGGGATAAAAATTCATGGATGAATTCGGCTTGGGGAATCCACTCCTAAACTGACCATCCAATCTCCATCAGGAACAGACTTTTTAAAATTATATGTGCTTTGCCATGAACTCCAAAGTCACATTTCCTATGTTGCAGAAGTAATTTATGCTCGTGTGACAGGGTTGCGATTCAGAAAATGGGTGTCATTTACGGATGCAAAGTTTTCCCACTTGTCACAATCTGCTGCCTGAGATATTTGTTTCAGTCTGCTTAATGATAAAATTAGGAGAAATATTCAGGGGTCATTGGGGGTTGTGGGTCACCAACAACCCCCAAGATAAGCGATCTATACGTAACACCTACATGAGAACTTAACATACGTACATTTTTCAATCTCCATTCCAAACATGCAGCAAATTCCCGGGTAATTTTAAGGTGGGGGGGAGAAATAGCTAGGATTAAAAAGAAGAAGAAAATAATTGGCTTTCCTGATTAAAATCTTTTAGCGTAAGAAAGTGTAAAAAAAAACAACCTCACACTTGCTAGTCCCAAGAGTAAATTCAACGGATCGTAAATATTTTAAAGAAGGTTGTGTTCATTTTGGAAGATTGTCCTCTGATCCCAACCACAGTTCTCACAGCTTTCAAGTGGAAGCTTTGAGGTCCCAATTTAACAGTGCTCCAAATTTTTTTTTGCAGGAGGGAAAGAAAAAAAAATCAAGATTTTCCAGCCAAGTCCAGGATTGAGTTGACTTTTCAAAAGCATTCCTTTTAATATTTTTTTTAATGCAACACCTCTCTCAGCCAAACAAGAGATTCACAGGGCTTGGTTTATTTGCTCGCACAATTGTGTTGCTGCTGTTGTGTGTATGTGTGTGTGTGTGTGTGTGTGTGTGTGTGTGTACTGAAACAGCTGGCTGTTTCGCAAGCAAACACATTTCCAGGTCATTTCAAATTCCCCATTTCTCTTAGCAGTTCCCCCCCATAAGGATGAGGGGTAAAAACTTCCTCCTTGTCTAACTAATTCCCCGAGCCAACTGAGAGAGGTATCCTCAAACTGTGCTTTGTGAGCTCAGATCCCGAGATCGAATCACGCCGGCCAAGTGGAAATCCAGTTGAAGCACTTTACTTTAAAAAAAAAAAAGGAAGGAAAAAAATATATATAACTTTTCCATCTCTTATATTGTGGGAGTAAGAGAAATGCCTTTTCTGACCCCACTTTTCCCTGGCAGCAGTATTAACTATCGAAGATTTCTAGGTAAGCCAAGATTGGCAGCAAAAAATAAAATAAAAAATAGTCCAGGAAGAAGCCATGAAGCTATTATCACTGGCTTGTTTGCTTGAAGGGGAACGATGGTTGATTCTGGGGTTTTGTGTTTTTTTTAATTTGCTTGAGGAGGCAAAATAGGAGAAGAGATGGAGAATGATCTTGTCATCTCAAAGTCTTTGCTTCAGGATAGGGCAGTGATAGATTAAAAAAAAACTGATTTATTATCCCCACAATTTAAATCTCCACAACTTAAAACCTGGAAATAAGGAGAAAATTTCCTCACGGCGAGAGCAATCAAACCATGGAACAGAAGTTGCCTTCGGAAGTTGTGGGAGATTCATCATTGGAGGCTTTCAAGAAGAGATTGGACTGCCATCTGTCAGGAATAGTGTAGGGTCTCCTGCTTAGCAGGGAGTTGGACTAGATGACCTACAAGGTCCCTTCCAACTCTGTTAATCTGTATCTAACTTCTCAAACCATGGCCTTAAGTGACCATAAAGGGCCGAGCTGAAGTTTCTGAGATGCTGGCCATACCTAAACAATCCACACGTGTGCCAGACGGATATTTTCTCCCACGAAAAAGAAAAAATTACAACGGGCCTGGGGAAAAAAAAGGCGACTTATGGCCGTTTTTCACACTTACGACGGTTGTAGCATCCCCGTGGTTCGCGCGATCCGAACTCCGGCGCTTGGCAATTGACTCGTGTTTATGACGGTTGCAGGTTCCCCGAGGTTTACGTAATCCTCTTTTGGCGACCTTCCACGGGGAACCAGATTCACTTAGCAACCACGGCAGGAAAAAGAAAAATCAGGCGAAAGTCGTTTAACAACCCCTCTCACTTAGTGGCAGAAAGGTCGGCCTCCATTGTGGTCGTACCCCGAGGACTACCACCTGTTACTACAAATAACGCAGCGAAGAGTTTAAAGGCTGTTTAGAATTCGTGGCTTTCGGGGAGTGTGGCTCAGGACACACAGCAAATATATCCGCCTCTTTCTGGGGTGATCATTCAGACAACGATCGTGGCTTCAGTTTGGGGGGAATCTGACTGGGAGCCCAAGAAACAGACAGAAATGGACTTTCCCCCCCCTTGAATGGTTAAATATGTTTGCTTTGTTGTAATGATCTTTTTGAGGAACAAAAAAAAAATAATTCTTATTTTTGTAAGGTGTTTTTTTTCTCTTCCTTTTGGTAATACAATAAATGTATTTCAAATGTTGTTTTCCCTTCTACGGGGAGGGGAAAAAGAATCACTTTTGTAGAAATGCATATTTTTTTCCCCACATTCCTAAGTAAATATTTCTGACTGTCCGTAGCCAAAATATTAACCCTGTTTAACACTAATTATTCTAAGTGTCTTAAAGCAGTATTTCTCCGCCTTAGCAACTTTTAAAATGGCTCGACTTCCAGAATTCCCCAGCCATTATGTCTCGACTTCAATTCCCAGAATTCCTCAGGCAGTATATCTGGACAATTCCCAGAATTCCCTAGCAAGTATATCTGGACTTCAACTCCCAGAATTCCCTAACCAGTTGAACTCCGTACATCTTAAAGCAACTAAAGTTGAGAAAGAAACACCGTTTTCAACCACAGCCCAGAATGACCGCTGGGAACTGAACGATCGTAGATGTAGATGTCAAAAACAGCCCAGAGAATTCAAGTGGAGGTAAGCTGATCCAGAAAGAAATCTATTAGAAAAATTTATTTTATTTTACTTTTAACTTTAAACCTACCAGGCCTAGGAGTGTTCTGAGCAATTACTTCATCCAGACAATTTTTTTTTTTAGATTCAAACTCGAAAACCAATGCAGAATAAAAGTAAAAAACAACAACAACCACTCACCAAAAAGGAAGGAGACGTTGGTCCAATGGCCATCACATTTTAATCACAGTCTTCATCAAATTTTGCTGCTCATAGTTGGGGGTGGGGTGGTCAAGTGGTACCCAAAGACCTTCATCATCCGTTGCTCAGCCTCTGGTTGATGACCCAACAACTACAGCTCCCATCCTGCTGGGAAAACCTCCCCTTAGTTCCAAAGCTTGGTTATCTGACCATTAGCAAAAATCCAGCCAACTATTCAGGATTATCTCGCACAATGGCAACCCCTCCTGCCAGGAGCCGATGATTAACGAATGAAAGGCAAATTAAAAAGAAGGG